GTGCCTAAGGCATTTGACTGCTAACCAGAAGGCTGGCAGTTCAAACCCACCAGCCACTCCTCAGAAGGAAGGTTGGGCAATCTACTTCCATAGTAATACTGCCTGGGAAACCCAAGGAAGGGTCGCTATGAGTCTGATCCAACTGGAGGGCAAAGGGTTTGATCAGCTTGTTATTAAACTAAAAACCAAACCCACTGCCATTGAGTCAATACAACTCATAGCAAACCCCATTGGGTTTCCAAGGAGGTAAATCTTTATGGAAGTAGATTGCCCCGTCTTGCTTCCATGGAGTGGCTGGTGGGTTTGAACCACCAACCTTATGGTGAGCAGTCAAGATTCCTTAGTTACTGTGCCACCAGAGCTCCTTAATAGTTAATAGTAATAGTCAAATCCTTTAAATTTTTACTCTTTTTTTTTTTTGTCTATCCACAGATTTTTTAAAGAGATCTACATAGTTTTTTTAAAAAATCATTTTAATTACTCTGAATGTGTGTGTATAATTTTTAAATCCGTAAGTCACCTCAACAGCAGCTTTGGTGGTGTAGTGCCTAAGGCATTGGACTGCTAACCAGAAGGCTGGCAGTTCAAATCCACCAGCCGCTCCTTGGGAATATGACTGGGCAACCTATTTTGGTAGAGATACCGCCTCAGAAACCCAAGGAGGGTCACTATGCATTGGCACCAACTCAAGGGCACTGAGTTTTTTGTTTTTGTTTATGTCACTTCAAGTTCTTTTAGATGAGGAAGAACCTGGTTTATAAGCAAAGAAACAAACCTAAGTAGTACTATCTTCCATAAATTTAAGCAAGGATCAGAGGCATTCTTCCCTCCTTTCCCACGGTCCATAGGTCGCTTAGTGAGTAAGTGTGCCTGTGTGTTCTTCCAAGAGCACCAGAAGCTACCTAAGGAGTCAATACTGTGCTGATCAGAAAACAACTCAGTAAATGTAAATGGTGGTCAATAGTAGCTTGTATACCTTGGAAATTTGTATATATTGACAGTATTGCTTTGAAATATCTCATTTAGTATGTAGTTAAGGTCATTTAAATCTTATTTGGTGTTAATAGCATGTATAGTCCTCCAATTGCTATAAAAGTGCTCAAGAGTTACCTACTTGTAATGTAGTTAAATATCTACCTGGTTTATCTATATTCAATCATGTGTAGTAGCCATGACTTAAAGGGTGTAGGCATTCATATACTACATACACTTTGTGGGCTTAACCTCAGTGAGTGTGACTTAGATTTAATTGTTTATTAAAAAAAAATCATACTATAAACATCAAAAGTAACTACCTCACACCAGTCCACAGATGCATCAGGGTTGTTACAAAGTTTTCTGTAAAAGCATTTCACGTCTTGATTCTTCACTTCTGGACCAAAAAGTTCCTGTACTGCTCCATAAAACTTGTCATAATCAATTGCATCTGCATTGTAACAAAGTATAAGGACATTGTCATCAAATTGCAAGGACTTTACTGTACCTTTCAATTGCCTTTTCTATTTTTTAATCTTTTTTTTTTTTTTTTTTTTTTCCTTATCTCAACCTATAAAAACCAGATTCATCAGCATTTTCAAGATCTTTTCTTTGGAAACATAACTAGGCCTCTTGACTAAAATGTTACTGCTGTGTAGTAAATTAGTTAATGTGGCTTTTCTACCCCTAAGTCTTTGTAAACACGAAGGTGGAATTTGCCATGAGCAACTGAGGATATCTTGATTGCTAAAGTTATCTACCTGGGGTATTTCTGTTGAGCAGTGGCACAAAACAATGTTCTGGGAAGTTCACTCTCTCTCAGGTGCTTAGAATTCTGATGTTATGATTGGTTAGTTTGGCCACTCTGCCAGGCTCAAAAGGAGGCCTCCTAGAGGCAGAAGAGGTCTCTCTGACTGCTGGCTGAGAAGCATGTGCTGCTGAAAGAAACATGCTCCTGAGAGACACACAATGCTGAGAAAGAGACACCGAGAGACTCTGGAAGAGTGGCTGAGAGAGACTGTTGGCTGAGAGACGGTGGGCTGAGAGAGACTGAGCGTTTTTCCTGAACTTGAATTGTAGCCTGGTGCTTCCCTAATAAACCCCATAATTTCTGAGTTCTGTGTGGCCACTGCAGTGAATTAACAAACCCAGCAGAAAGGTGGCGAGTGCTGCAGGAGGAAAGATTGGTGTCAGGGTTGGTGAAAGGGCTGGAGGGAGGCAGCATGTCTAGCCTCACAAGAATAGGCGTTGGGCTACTGATGGTGATTCTGTCTTCCTCTTGTGCGGTTAGAGGAGTTCAGAAGATGTGGCCTCCCTGCCCCTTTAGCAGTTACCTAGAAGTTTAGTACCTCTTCCATAGCTTTTGTTTCAATTATTTTAGAGGTCTTATTCAGGAATACAAAGATAAGCAAATGAATGACTTGCTTCCTATAGTGAAAAGTTCACCAATCAAGATTCTCTACTATAGCTCATCTTGGGTAGAAGGCAGAAGTATACTAAGAACAATTCTTAACTGGTTCTTTGACACTGTAAACACACACACATCATTGCCTGAGTCATGATTTTGCCAAATTTGTTGAATCACTGGGGTAAAACTATTGAGTTGAAGTACAACAAAGACGTAGACAGGGGATTCCTCAAACTATGTAAACAAGATCGTGTTTTTTCATTTACTTAATAAAAATGTATTGAACATCTATTATGTATCAGAACTAAGTTAGACATTGAACTTAGAATGAAAAACTAGATACACAAGCTCTTTACCCTCAGGAAACAGCAAGTTAAGTAAATAAATAAAGGAAATATTTACAGATTACCATTGAACTTACTGTTAAGAGTGATGAAGAACACTGGACACAGATAGTGGTGGTTTCACTTGGTAAACATAATTAATATCACAAAATTGTACATGTAATAATGGTTAAAATGGCAAATGTTTGGTTATATATATTTATCACAATATTTTTTTTAACTTTATAGATTGTAACACATAAGAGTAATTAATAGAGATAGACTTTAGATTAATGATCATATGTGTATAAGGTAAGAAGCAGTATTACTTCAAAAGGGCATGGAAGAACTTTCTGGGATGTCATAAATGTTCTTTGTCTTCATGTCACTGGCATCCACAGGGATATTTATCAATGTTAAAACTTAATGAGATGTAAGGTTGGCAGTTCAAACCCCCCCAAGTGGGTCTGCAAGAGAAAGACGTGGTGATCTGCTCCATAAAGATTGCAGACCTGAAAACCCTGTAGGACAATTCTACTCTCTCATATGGGGTTGCAACAAGTCAGAAGGAGCTCTGGTGGCATAGTGCCTAAGGCATTTGACTGCTAACCAGAAGGCTGGCGGTTCGAACCCACCAGTAATGATACCACCTTGGAAACCCAAGGTGGGGTCACTATGAGTTGGGTGTAACTCAAAAGCAGTGTGCTGCTGCAGCTGCTACAAGTCAGAAACAACCCCATGGCACCCAACAAGAACATTTTTAAAGATCAAGGAGCACTGTTGGGTGATATAGTAGTTAAAGTAGTTGGCTGCCAACCAAAATGTTGTTGTTTCAAGCCCACTAGCCACTGGAAGGAGAAAGATGTGGTAGTCTGCTTCTGTAAAAATTCACAACCTTGGAAACCCTATTGGGCGTTCTACTCTGTCCTACACTGTTACTATGAGTCGAAATCTACTAGAGATAATGGAGTTAGTAGGAGCAGGTGGTGCAATGATTATGCACTCTGCTGATAACTGAAAGGTCGGTGGTCTGAACCAGCTATTCTGTGGTAGAAAGATCTGGAGATCTGCTCCCATAAAGATTATAGCCTAAAAAGCTCTATGAGACAGTTCTACTTTGTCACATGAGACAGATGTGAATCAAAATTTGACTCAACAGAACACCAACAATACTTAAGATTAGTGCACTTTCCGAGTTTTACTGTATGTTGTAACTCTGCAATAAGTAATTCTAGATTGGGCCCAGTTGTAGGAAGGAAACACATAGGTAGCTATGATAAATTGTGTGGTGGACTCAGGAAAGGCCTCTCTGAGGAAGTAGGTAAAATGAAGCTGAAACCTGAAAAGGAAAAATAGTCAGCCATGTGTAAAGCTACAAAGAGAATTTAGGCTGACAAACACAAAGACCCTGAGGCTGCAGAGACAGTGGCTTGTCCAGGAAGGTCAGCAGGCATGGAGTTTAGTGAGGGCTGGGAAAGTGCTCTGAGGGGAGATCGGAGGAGGAGGGCCATGCTGTAGTAGGAAGTTTTTACTTTCTTCTCAGCTTATCATCAGAGGGTTTTAACCATGAACATGACAGGATATAACATAAAATTTTGTAAATGCATACTGTGAGGAGCCAAGAGGAAAAGCTATACAACAAGTAAGGGCTATTACAGTGTCCAGGTTTGAGGTGATGGGAGCTTCACCAAGGAGATACTAAGGGTGATAGGCACCCTGCGGTACCAGAGAAAATCTCATTTATGTATGCTTTCTCAACTTAATTATTCATAATATCCCCTTTCACTCTAGAAAGCATTTCCAATAGATGATAAATGATACAGGCACCCCAGAAAGAATGTAAAGATGTTGATGTATGGTTGGAAGTAGAATTGCAAGGACTTGCTAGTGGAATGGGAATTTTTGGTAGAAGTGGTGATTGAAAGAAAGGCAGGAATCTAGAACAGTGATTCTCTCCAGGGAAAATTTTACCACCCAGGGGTCATTTGGAAACTGGAGGCATTTTTGATTTTCACAACTAGGGAAAGGGTGTGCTTCCTGGCATCCAGTGGTTAGAGGGTCAGGGATATTGCTAAACACCTTACAATGCATCGGATACCGCCCCAACACACACACACACACTTACCCAACAGAGTTATTCAGCCCAAAATGTCAGTAGTACCAAGGTTGAGAAACTTCTGCAAGTTTCTGCTTTCAGAATTCATTGGATATTTGTACTGTTTATCAAAACAGGTGTAACTTGGCAATAGTAATTGCTGGGGAAAATAAAGCTTTCAATTTGGTCATGTCAAGTTTAAAATTCCTATGAGACATTCAAATAGTTATTTAGTGGTTTACAATTATACCTAACTATGATAAGATATGTATTCCATTGTAAATGCATCTTGATGGGTATGATGAGACTTTATTTTCCTGGGATGATTTGGTAGACAAGGAGATTTAATAGCAATAAACCAAACCAACCCTACTGCCATCGAGTCATTCCAACTCATAGTGACACTAGGCCAAAGTAGAGCTGCCCCCATAGGGTTTCCAAGGCTATAAATCTTTACAGAAGCAGACGGCTTCATCTTTCTCCCAGAGTGACTGGTGGGTTTGAATTGCCAACCATTTGGTTAGCAGCCCAATGCTTTAACCACAGAGCAACAAGAGCTCCATTAAGAGCAATTAAAAAAAAAAAAAAGAAAGAAAGAAAGAAAGAAACCTCATTCCCATGGAGTCAATTCTGATTCATAGTGACCCCCTTTGGGTTTCCAAGGCAGTAAATCTTTACAGCAGTAGATTGCCCAATCTTCCTTCTGAGGAATGGCTGGTGGGTTTGAACTGCCAACCTTCTGCTTAGCAGTCAAATGTCTCAGGCACTACATCACCAGAGCTCCTAAAGCTTAGTCAAATTCCTGTAGTCCACTTGTTATCATTTTTGAGGTAAACACTGTCCCATTAAAAACATTCTCCCTAATTCTTAGCTTCTTGCCTATGATGAGAGCCAGATCCTATTTTTTTTTCAGTATTTCTTAATGAATATGAATTTATACCAGATAGTATTATTAGCAGCTTTATGAAATTTAAGATTATATTCCTCTCTTCTCCTCAGCCTTTCAGATCACTCTGTCACAGAAGGCAATTGTTCTAGCAGTACTTATTTTTTACCAAATCTTAAAAACTACAGAGGAAGGAAAATTTCAATATGACTTGATGAAAACAAGTTGCCCTTGAGTTGATTCTGCCTCATGGTGACCTCATGCATGTCAGAGTAGAACTGTGCTCCACTGGGGTTTCAAGGGCTGATTTTTCAGAAGTAACTCACTAAGCCTTTCTTCTGAGACACTTCTAAACCAAAAACCAAACCTACTACCACCAAGTTAATTCAGACTTATAGTAACCCTACAGGGCAGAATAGGAGCTCTGGTAGCATAGTGCCTAAGGCACTTGACTGCTAACAAGAAGGCTGGCGGTTCAAACCCACCAGCCACTCCTCGGAAGGAAGGTTGGGCAATCTACTTCCATGGTGATAACTACCTCGGAAACCCAAGGAGAGGTCGCTATGAGTCGGGGCTGACTCGAAGGCACATAACAACAACAACAACAGGGCAGAATGGAACTGCCCCATAGGATTTCTAAGGCTGTACATCTTTACAGAAGCAGACTGCCTCATCTTGTCCCATGAAGTGGCTGGTGGGTTCAAACTGCCGACCTGCTGAATGCTTTAACCACCACACC